TCTGTTTTTATTTATACTCCTTACCTCATTTTTTGTCTTTTGCCACTACTAAGAGTCTTGTCTCATCCTCTTTAMATTTTCCCCTTAGTTATTTGTACATATTGATCAGATCCCTTCTCAATCTTCTCTTCTCCAGGCTAAAAAGGCCCAACTACCTTAGTCTTTCTTCATACGATAGATGCTSCAGTCCTCCTTGCCCAGAACTGCAGCCAAAGCTCCAGATGTGGCCTCAATAGAGTTGAGCAGAACAGCAAGATCCCCTCCCTCAACCTGCTGGTCACCCTCCTCCTAATGCAGGCTGGGATCCCATTGGCCTTCTTGGCCAGCAGGGTACATTGATGGCTCAGGGTCACCTTGTTGTCAACCAGGACTCCCAGATCACTCTTCACCGAACTGCTTTCCATCAGGTCAACAGCTAATCTGTATTGGTGCAGTAAGTGCAGACCAGTTCAGAAAGTACTGAAAGGAGGTTGCCACTAAGGGAGAAAACTCTGCAATGCCTGAGACCTGGAAGAAGCAGCGGTGCCCATGCAGGAATGACACATAAGTATTTCCTGTGTGAGATGATGTTGCGGTACCAATGGGTCTGTGAAATATTTCTTGAACCAATCTGCAGGAAGGACATGTTGCCCAGTGTAGTTGTCCCTGGTCTTGCATAGCCCGTGATCCGGACATCCTGAGATCATCATTAGCCTCCGTGTTCATATCCTTGGGTTAGGAAAGTAGGCATTGAGGAAGAGGAAAGCTAGAAGAGTTTCCAAGTGCAGGGAGCAGAGCAGAGCCCTTGGTGTGATGTGCCTCTCCCCTACAGCATGTGCAGCTGTAGGAGGGATTGACTGGGCCTAAAGGCATTGTTTGGATCCAGTTCTTTGAGCACTGGTAGGAAACCTGAGATGCCATCGGATTCTTGCCCTAAAAGGACTCCAACCGGACATGGTTTCCCATAGATCCAATACCATGTGTCCCGGAGAAGACATTTGGTTATGCTGGACAACTCTGGCATCTGACTTTGCCCTGCAGCCTGTTTCTATGTCACTAAATCAGATAACTGCAGTGAAAGGTATTACCTTTTTACACTGCAAAAATCTGCCAGGCTCTCTGCTTTATATTGCAAGATGCTCCTGTTGCAATGGAAGAGGTCATTTGAGATGGCCAAGGAAATTCCCCACCTGCCCTTCTCCTGAAGCTCCATGAGGATGGGGGTCTCAAAGTTGCTCCATCAGAGCAAATAAACAGAGGCACCTTTGTGGAATCTCCTCTGTCTCTTCAAGCAGGTGTTTGGGTGTTGTCTGCTGACTCACACCCTCCATCACCAGTGATTACAAGGGGAGCTTAGAGCAGGAGCTCCCATGCACATGTCAGTGCTGTGCACACTTCAGCGCGGGTGAGCAGCATCCCACATTCTGTGCGTTTGTGGAGTTCGTGGGAGGAATGTGAAAGCCATCCCAGAGCAGGGGATTGTGAACCAGCATGGAATGTCCAGACTGACTCATCTGAATCCATGAGCCCCTTCTTGCCCCTTTCTGAGCGTGCTGCCTAGGACTTCCTAAGTCGCTGCTAGCGACTTCCTAAGTAGGGCCTTCCAGAGTGGGACATTTCTAACTTGCAGAGATAGTCATCCTCTGATGAAATAGACTGCAATATTGGAATCCATCTTTCTCTACTCATTAGGACAGGACCACAGGTGTGATTCTTTTAGTTGTTTCATGCCCATATCCCAGGAGGAGGGAACACAGGGACCGGGCAATTGGTGAGTTCAGCTGGGCCTCTGCTCCTGAGCAGGGCGAAGCTCCTGGGATGGAGGCAGCTCGTGACAACCTGTGAGCCCTGCCCAGAGACACTGTGTGCAGGAGCAGCTGCTGTGCCAAGAGCAGCAGGGCTGCGGGCACTGCCTGCTGCTGCGCACAGCAGAGGAGAGAAGGCAGCGGGAGTTGAAGGGCAGTGTGGAGCAGGAGCACAGAGGATATCTGCACAGCTCTTGACACGGTGAGTTTTAGCTTACAGCACAGTGCTACTGAGCTTCTTGAAGGSGACTTCAGAACCCATCCCACCCCATGGCTGACAGCAGTTTTCACTTCTTTCTCCTGCCTTTTTTCAGTGCAGAGGAAGAGGAGCTGCTTCAGAGCAGGGATTCTCTAMCATAGCACATAGGGGCAGGGCATCCTGCTGCCTTCCCCAGCAGAAATGGCAGTGATGTGGAGCTGGGCTGTGCAGACAGGGTGAGAGGTCGGCACTTCAGAGCAGGGTCCCTGCACCCAAAGGTGCTGAGTGTGCGGAGCAGTGACTGTGTTGCCTGTGAAGGTCAGCACTGAGCCTGCCCAGGGAGCTGCCCACAGGACTGAGGGGAGAAGTTCTGGCTGGGAGGATTATTCTCTACCAGGACAGGCTCTTTCTCCTGCTGGGTGGCTGCAGCGTGGGTCAGTTCTGCTCACAGGTCTAGCTGTGAGCACATTTCAGAGGGCACTTTTCAAAAGGAAAGGCAAGACATGCATCGCCTGAAAGAGAACGCACAGAGGTGGTGCTTAGAATTCCCTTCTACTTRGTAAGAGGAAACTGGAAATGGAACTGTCAGCTTTGGGCAACAGACTGAGACTCATTAAGAGTGTCAAGGACCAGTCAGTGAATCTGTGAAGGAATTGGAAATATTCCCTTTCACATCCCTTAATCGACAGACAGCACTAGCTTCTCCTGGGCTGCTGCCTCAGGATTTATCTGACCTGCTCCTTAGCACCTTCACACATGGGGATGCCCCTGGACAGTTCTCTGCTACTAGGGGTTTTCTACAGACCAGGCAGAGCTGACTTGTGAGCGTGATTGTCCTTCATCTCAGTGAGGTGTAAGGGCAGGATAGTGAGGCGCAAGGCTAACAGATGAAGAAGGTTCCATGACAAAGTCATGACAAGTCCTTTTTTTTCCTGTTGCAATGCACAAGGTGTCATGCTGAGAGCAATTGAAATTCCACAGGCAGGAGGCACCTTTGTGTATTCATGTGTGCGCCATCACATATATAYACAAAATTTTATCAAAACTCCTCACTGATTCTCTTGCATAGAAGCCTTGATTTCCAAATGTTGAAGAGACTTGCAATAGAACGGGTGGACATTGTCTCCTGCAGGTTCTGTGCTTCATATCTACCCTTTATCTCTGCTGTGCCTCAACTAAGGGTGCAGATGGTAAAGTGACCTGAGGATAAGGTCTACTGCTGGACATCTAGACATGTAGAAGTGGTAAGGTCAGCCCTTGTTTCCATTTGMCTCTTTTTCTCCCTTGCTGGAGTGGGATCTGGTGTGACAGATTCAAATACAAAGATCTGCATTGACGAGGGCAAGACTGATTGGGATGAATCCCTCACAAAGCTCTTTTCCTTCAGACAAAAATGTTGTGAGGGCTGTATTCAGTGCAGTCAAAGAGTAGCTTAACACCTCCATTTACACCTGCAGCACAGCAACTCATTTGGAGTCATGGCCAGAGGTCCCTGCTGTACATGTCACAGSCCTTTCAAAGTGGGGCACCAGGAGGGAAGCTGAAATAAGGAAGAGACAAAATATGGGGATTTCCTGAGAAATTGAAAGGATTTGGCTCARASAAGCCTTCTTTAAATTTTGACTTTCTTTCCTTCTTTGCACAGGAGTCACAAAGGAGCAAATGTCCAACAGCAGCTCCYTCACTGAGTTCCTCCTCCTGGCATTYGCAGWCASGCGGGAGCTGCAACTCTTGCACTTCTCCCTCTTCCTGGCCATCTACCTGCCTGCCCTCATAGGCAATGGCCTCATCATCACAGCCATAGCCTGTGACCACCGCCTCCACACCCCCATGTACTTCTTCCTCCTCAACCTCTCTGTCCTCGACCTTGGCGCCATCTCTACCACTGTCCCCAGATCCATGGCCAACTCCCTCTGGGACACCAGAGCCATTTCCTTTTATGCATGTGCCACCCAGGTCTTCTTGTTGATCTTCTTCTTAGGAGGGGAGCTTTTTCTCCTCACAGTGATGGCCTATGACCGCTTTGTGGCCATCTGCAGACCCCTGCACTATGGGAGCCTCCTGGGCAGCAGAGCTTGTGTCCAAATGGCAGCAGCTGCCTGGCTTTCTGGGTTTCTGATTGCTCTCCTGCAGACAGGGAATACATTTTCCATTCCACTGTGTGAAGGCAATGAGGTGGATCAGTTCTTCTGTGRGATCCCCCAGATCCTCAAGCTCTCCTGCTCACACTCCTACCTCAGGAAAGTTGGAGTTACCATAGTTCATGGCTGTATAGACTTTGGTTGTTTCATTTTCATTGTGGTGTCCTACATGCAGATCTTCAGAGCTGTGCTGAGGATGCCCTCTGAGCAGGGCCGCCACAAAGCCTTTTCCATGTGTCTCCCGCACCTGGCTGTGGTCTCCCTCTTTATCAGCACCACCATGTTTGCCTACCTGAAGCCGTCCTTCATCTCCTCCCCAGTTCTACATCTCGTGGTGGCTGTTCTGTACTCAGTGGTGCCTCCAGCACTGAACCCCCTCATCTACAGCATGAGGAATAAAGAGCTCAAGATTGCCCTGAGGAAACTGATTTCCTGGACATTTTTCAGCCGTGCTGATATTTTTATCTCTCTCCACAAATGACTCCTTCTGTATGCCATAACTGGACTGAGTCTTGTTCMTTCATGTTATTTTTATTATGGGATTTATTTTTAATAAAAAAATTATCATGTTTCTACAGAAATGCTTGCATTCATTCCACTTTTGCCAAGACTGCTCCTTCTTACCTGGTACCCTGAATTGTATCAAATGCTGTATCTGGTCCCCTCCCTGTGTCTCGGTAAGAATGTAGGTATCCCCAGTGCACCTTTTCTTTCAAATCTGATGACTAAGAACCTGCTTAAGAAAGTGCATGTCAGAAGGGCCTGCTGAACAGGCTTCTCTGTGAGTTCCACGRAAAAATGCTAATAATTGGGCACTGCTGTCTTTAGAGACCAAGTGTTGCATTTGGGATTTCTCCAAAGTTCTTAGCCTTGTCTAACCCTGAGGCCTTCCTTCACTGTGTCTGTCACTGCCAAAACTGTCTTGCCACTAACAAAAGAGGACTTTCTCAGTTCAGTGCTTGCAGATAGGACTCTTCTTCTAAAGCTGGAGCCAAGAATTTCCTCTAGGACTTTCACCCTGAAAGGGTCTTTTTCCTTCTTAGATTCTGCATGGGCTGAAGGCAATGAGCTTGGAGGATGATGTGTTTGGGAATGAGGGTTGGATTCAGCTCTCACTTAGGAGTCCTTAGTGCTTGCAATTGTGCTGAATACTCAAGTAAAATGTGCCTGGCACCGTGGCAGACGCCCACAGTGGGGCCCTTGCAGGCAAGGGGAGGGAGCTGCAAGAGTAATTCATGACACCTCACAGGTCAAATGCTGCTCTGGATCTAGGAACACATCTGACCATAGCCTGTGCCTTTTGAAAGGTCTCATGATGACTCAGAGCATAATCAATAGCYRCAGGCCCTTTGGCAGGGGTTGTAAGGTGCAATATTAGCCATCCAGCTGGGKGTGCTTCCTACCCSAAGCAYTRTGGCCAGTGTGGAGTCACCCCATGGCCCTGCCATGAACTGCTGCATGGAYGAAGCTGCTCTCTGGGACTGCCCTGCTGCGCTGGGGGCTCTGCACCTGCTGCAGMCCTGTGATGGGAGGAAGAAGAGGTGCAATARGGCCCTGGAGAGGGTCCAGCGTGTGCGGGACCTCTCCCTGATGAAGTGTGCAGCCTGCTCATTCTGAGTGATCCTCACGTTAGGGGTGGCTGCAGCTCACGCACTCATAGGCCAGTGTCCTGTCCTTCTGCAGCTGCAGGGACTGCCCCCCTGCAGGTTCTGGCATCTCCAGGCCTGTCCCCTTCCCTGGGGACTCCCGTCCCCCTCTCCAGAACAGGCACAAGCAACACTGGGCCTACATCCCCTACCACAACAGGCCCAGACACAACAGGTACTGGACTGGAACACCTGTGTTGTCACTGCTGGGAAGAGTGTGTGCATAGAAAGGACAGTGGGTGGCCACACCAGGGCTGGAGCAAGTACTCCCAATGGAGGTGCTGCCCCTTGTGGGACTGGGGTCTGGGACAGCTGGGACGGAGGCTGGCAACACCAGGACAGGAGCTGGTGTCTCTGGGAAAGGGKCTGGCACTGCCAGGAGAAAGACACACTCCAGGAGAGGGGCTGGCATATCCCAGATAGGTGCTGGCATCTCTGGGACAGGGCCTGTAGGTGCTGACATCTCTGGGACAGGGCCTCCTCACAGGAGAGGTGCTGGCTGCACCGGCACAGGGATAGCCCCTCCAGGCCAGGCCTGGTACTGCTGGTGCCTCCTCACCAGGTAGCTGTGACATAATCACACAATCACCGAATGGATAAGGTTGGGAGGTGGTCTCTAGAGATCATCTAGTCCAAGMCCCCTTCTCTAGCAAGGACATCTAGAGSCATGTGGCACAGGGTAGCATCCATGCAGGTTTCAAAGATCTCTGTAGAAATAGACTATACAACCTCCCTGGGCAGCCTGTTCCAGGGCTCTTTCAGTCTCACAGTAAAGAAGTTC